ATTGGGATTAGATTAATTGCTGGAAGTAGTTAGCATTGCCCAATTTAAGAGGCTGTCTCCGTAAAAACCTCCACGTCAGTATGGGGCTCAAAAATAGATTTCTCTCATACTCTAGTATTTTGAAGATCTATCCTTGGGAACAACTAAAATCGATGTCATTTTACTCAAATTTCCTTTAAATTATTTTTGGGGGCGATTGATGTTCGATCGACTGGTAACCAACTTGATACTCCGAATGAAGGCCAAATATCGACATATTTTCAGCGCTATTTTTTAAATCAAATTATTTTATACCTAAATTTCAAAATTTTTGCTCAGAAATATAGACTTATCCTTCTATTTTCGCGGGTGATATGACTTAGATCATTATTCTTTGGTATAAAATAGAAAACAGCGCAGTTATTGACCCTCCTGAACGGATAAAGGATATCGTCTCAAAATATGTCAAATTCGAAAGCTTATTTCAAAATCGTGGCACTTGATTGGCACATGACTTTAACTTTTCTATAAACTACTAACATTAGTCAACACAAATCGCCAATAATATCTTTCTGTTCTACCATTTGGCAAAAATGACAAGCGCGCAAACTTTGTAAAATTTGAAAATGTGTCGAAATCGAGCATACTTTATCGGTAAACATAATTTTTGATATTAACAAATAAAACCACCTTACACTACACTGAATGAAGCTTGATTATGTAAATATATGTCTTTCATCATTATTCTTTGGTTTTGCACTCGAATGAAATTGTTTGACTGTACAGTTTGGCTTCAAGGATAGTCATTCAATGCCAGTGTGTCCTGCAGTGTGTTCGAATTCTGCGCGCCTCAATGCCATGACGGCATCAGTCCTGATTGTGAATACGAACTTCGCTCTGTTCGCTTTGTTTACCTCCTGTAAATAAAATGTCTCAAAGAAATGAGAAAATTCAGAATTAGTCATACTACAGACATAACTTTCATTGGTTTGTTTACCTTAAACTGTTATATAAAGTTTCGTTTTATAGAATGTACGAATTAATCTCGGGGAAAACTCCTAACCGAAAGAAATGTACTCGCTGAGCGTAAACATGTCAATCAAATGACGATGAAATGTTTCGTTGCTCTCTGATTTCCCTTTCTTTGTATTGAATTAAATAGTAGTAGTCTTAGACAGTATTGCACGAGGTTTTTGTGTTTACAATAATGGTGTTCTACTTCTACTACAGCCGCAATTTGTGATCATGCAACGTTAAGGCCCTGTCACACTATTGCGTATGAGAGAAACGTATGAGAACCGTATGAAAATTAATGAAATCATTTTCATACGCACAAAAATCCTTTGAAATGCCAGCGTATGAGTACCGTACATCTGGCGTACCTCTAGCGTATTGAGCGTGTGCCTAGAGTATCCCTACGTATAAAACATACGTCCGATACGCACAAAATTTTTGAACATGCTTAAAAAAATTTTCTGCCTCGCCGTATGCCACCGTATGCGACCGTGCTTGAAACGTATACAACCTATGCCTAGCGTACCCCTAGCGTATGTCAGCGTATACCGGCGTATGAGTGATATTTTTCATACGCTGGCATACGCTAGTACGATACGCAATAGTGTGACAGGGCCTTAAACGATTTCGACAGACAGTAGATTTTATGTTGACAGATGAGAATGACGGTAAACAATAATGTAGAAATGTTCCTTTTCTACTTCTGAGTGTGGAAAATTCCGAGACACAGACTGTTCTTCGAAGTTGCTGGCGTGTAAGAATGACATTAGTTATCACTTGCAAATTTGTCACCCTTTAAAGCTTGTCGGAAAGAAGAATATAAATTAATTATAATTTTCAGAACCTTTCTAATTGTTACTGAAAAAAGGAATAACATTGATTTTTATAACTGAGACGTTCAAATGGGTTACAGCTGTTTGCGCTGAATTGTTTTGTATTATATCAAAATATTCGCATATTTTTATACAATAAGAAATAATGTAAATTCTTGAAGCATAGCCTTGAGCAAAGTGACCCAGGGTCGGCCTGAAAAAGTTAATTTTTTTTATACAGAACCGTGACTTACTTGAATTCTAGTTTCATTGATAATTGTTTCTAAACCTAGAGACAATTCAGTTGCTAGAAAACTATACTGAGCGAAACTAACGAAATATTGACATTTGACATCATTGCCCGGGGTTTTCCCCGAGATTTAATTCGTACATTCTAACGAAACTTTTATAAAACAGTTTAAAACGATGAAAATTCTGTCTGTAGTATGACTAATTCTGAGTTTTCCAATTTCATTGAATATTGTTATTTGTTAAACATGTATTTGTTAAAGAGGTAAACAAAGCGAACAGGGCGAAGATTGTATAGTATGTCACAATCAGGACTCGTGGTATTGAGGCGCGCAGAAGACACTGGACACACTGGCATTGAATGATTGAATGACTCTATCCGTGAAGCCAAACTGTACTCAAACAATTTGATTCAAGCGCCAAACCAAAGAATAATGATGAAAGACATGTATTTACATAATGAAGCTTCATTCAGTGTAGTGTAAGGTGGTTTTATCTGTTAATATCAATAATTATGTTTACCAATAAAGTATGCTCGATTTCGACACATTTTCAAATTTTACAAAGTTTGCGCGCTTGTCATTTTTGTCAAATGGTAGAGCAGAAAGATATAATTGGCGATTTGTGTTGACTAATGTTAGTAGTTTATAGAAAAGTTAAAGTCATGTGCCAATCAAGTGCCACGATTTTGAAATAAGCTTTCGAAGTTGACATATTTTGAGACGATATCCTTTATCCGTTCGGGAGGGTCAATAACTGCGCTGTTTTCTATTTTATACCAAAGAATAATGATCTAAGTTGTATCACCGTCGAAAACAGAAGGATAAGTCTATATTTCTGAGCAAAAATTTTGAAATTTAGGTATGAATTTGATTTGAAAAATAGCGCTGAAAATATGTCGATATTTGGCCTTCATTCGGAGTATCAAGTTGGTTACCAGTCGATCGAATATCAATCGCCCCCAAAAATAATTTAAAGGAAATTTGAGTAAAATGACATCGATTTTAGTTGTTCCCAAGGATAGATCTTCAAAATACTAGAGTATGAGAGAAATCTATTTTTGAGCCCCATAGTGACCTGGAGGTTTTTACGGAGACAGCCTCTTAAGTGCTACTACTAAATTCTAACCAATTTTCAAATTTTGACACGTAATGCCGTTTCCTGACCATCAGATTTCTGTCAAATCTTCCCCCAAAGTCCAGGAAATGGCATTTCAGAGACTCTAAATTCAAAAATTTTCCCGGGGGGCATGCCCCCGGACCCCCCAAGACAAACCTCGCACCCGTGGCGCTCGGCATGTGCCTTCGGCCCTCGTTTATCAAGGGTAATATTATAGGGGCGCATATTAGTTGCCAGCCGACTGGCCCCCCCCAGAAAAATAGTACCCAGCACGCCACTGGTACTGAAGGTTAGCTATATAACCGTTATAACCTGAATTTATTTCCTGAATTATATTTTTCTGACAAGGCGCAATGTCGTTCAGTGATGTAGTTTCTTTCATTTTTTTATATATAGCTTTACCAAACCAGGTACCTATTTGTCCACAGATTCGTTGTATACCATGTCCTTATCGAACAGTCCGAATATATGACGCACGTGGTTGTCCAACCTGTAAATGCCGAAGTACGTATACGGTACTGCTATATCCATAAATAACAAGTAATGCACTCAAAAATACTATACAGCAATTGCAGATAACCAACTACTAAATTAACAATCTTGTATCATTTTTGGGAGTAGAAGCGGAATATGTTTGAATATATGCCGAATATTTTTCGGTAACAATAAGAATATTTCAGGAAGGCCGAAATATGAATATTTAGGGTAGGACTGATATGAATCTTTGTATTAGGAATATAAATGTTTGAAGCAAATTGGAAAGAATATTTGTCTTTCCCCCTGGCTAGGAATAGTAAATAATGTAGGTAGAAATATTGAATATCCTGCTTCCACCCACGAATCATTTACAGTCCTTGTATTTGCATGAATGCACATGAGACAATATATTGTATTTTTGAAGGGTTTTTAGATGGAAATTTTATGTGTAAATTAGATAGCATGTACGAGTGAGTTTTTCAAAGACCTCAAAATAGCACGAGTCCGAAGGACGAGTGCTATTTGAGGTCTTTGAAAAACTCACGAGTGCATGTTTGTCCAAATTCACGAGAAACCATGCTATTACTTAATTTTAATAATTTACATAAAAATGTTCGAGACAATTGTAGTTTTTGACTTACGCGTTTATACTCCACTGGCAAAGTTTTTCTGGCCTTGTTATATCACATTATACAACGCTAACAGCTTGAAAATTCCACTCAACTGTTAGTCTTAATTGTTTAAGGGAAATGCTTTTCCATTTAAAAATAAAGATAAAAGCCATATTTTCCACGCGAAGGCAACTTTTACGGTTAGCACTATTTTCCATCCAGCGAACTGACCTGGCGTCATTTTCGGAAGATAGAAGAGGTGTTAAATAGCTATGTAACTAACCCAAACCCTACCCCTACTCTAACCCCTAACCCTAACCGCAACCCTAACTCTAACCCTGATCGAATTAATTAAAAAATCCAAAAAGAAACGACTTTAGAAAATCGACAGGGCGGTTTGCTGGATGGAAAAAAGTGCTAACCAACTTTTACTTGGTGTAGCGCGGCGCCATGTTTGTTTTGTTTTGAAGCAATCTGCATGTGACGTTACTTCTTTAAACTAAATTGCTTTAAACTGATTGGTTGATTTAATCATCACAATGTTTTTCTACCAATCAGATCAGTTTGTTACAGATTTTTGCACTGTGATTACAGAAAATTGCATTGTGATTACAAAAAATTGCACGGCTGTGATTACAGAAAATTGCACTGCTGTTTGGGATTAACTGCACTGAAATCAACCAATCACAGTCGAGTAATATTTTATGTATATTATTAGAAATAAAACAAACTATTTAACTTTTTATTTATTGCATAGATCCATGCCAATATACGTCAAATGTCCACGAGGAAAATTTTGTCGAGTTGACCATGAAACAAGGAGACCATCTTGTGTTTGTTTAGAGGCGTGTCTTCGTATTTATGCTCCAGTATGCGGATCAATAATCACTGCAAACTACAGTAGCTCATACAATTTTTTTTTTAAAATTAATATTTAATTTCAGGAAGCTTTCTCACAAAGTGATTTTCAGAAAGGTCCTGAACTAAATAAACTATTATACAAGGAAGACATGCATATACTACATAACTATGAAAAATATTAAAAAATTATACGAGGGAAAGTTCAAAGATTGCCAAAAAAGTTTCTCTTAAATGTAGAAATACTAGTAGATAGTTTTATCTTTCTGTCCAAGTTGTTACAGTCTGTTATGGCCTGATAAGCGAGTCTTTGCTTTCCCCAATTTCTTGACACTTTAGGTGGCCTTAAATTGTCTTTATATCGCGTATTGTAGTTGTGTATTTCTCTGTTCGCTAGAAGTTCAAATCCATGTGAAGTATGATTATTTAGACACTTAAAAACAAATAAACATCTATGATACAATCTGCGTTGTTCAAGAGTGGTCCAGCCTAAAGTGTTTAACGCGTCTGTTGCCGATGAAAAATATGGTCTATCTAAAACAATCTTGGCGGCTTTGTTCTGGAGTATCTGAAGATTGTTCATTAACACTGTATTATTTTTGTCTCCCCATATAACATCCGCATAGTCAAAGATTGGGAGTACGAGACTGTTATACAAAAGGATTCGTGCATTAAATGGTAACAGGTGTTTAATCCTACGAAGACCTAGGCGTTGATTGACTTTAGCGGAAATGCGATCTATATGTTCTGACCAGGTGAAGTTGGCTCCGCTGTGATGGTGACTCCTAAATACTTGAAATTGCTGGCGTTGGAGACTTCAGTATTGTTGACACAGACAGATATCGAAGATATATTACATAACTTCCTATCACTGCCTATAATCATTGATCGAGTTTTATTTAAATTCAGTGTCAGCTTATTCTCATTTAACCAAATCGCTAACTTGAGTACATCTTCATTAAGATTTTTTTCAAGATCATTGACATCTGAGGCGTAGCAATACAAGACTGTGTCGTCGGCATACAAGGAAACATTGCAATTATTGGTAATACTGGGCAGATCGTTTATGTACACGAGAAAGAGAAGTGGGCCCAAAACGCTCCCTTGGGTGCTCCAAAAGTGACAGGAAGAGCGTCCGACAATTCACTTCCACAAGACGTTTGTTGCATTCGGTTGCTCAGGTAGGACTCAAACCAACCTACGGTGCTATATAAATAAGCAAGATATATGCAAATTGCGTGAAGAAAATTTGCATCTCAAATCACGTATCTCCAAATTAAAAGGAAAGATGGCCTCGGCCTTCATAGAAAAATTCCCTGGTGCTATTGAAATATCTTGTGTCACACCTACAATGCAGTACGTCCCCATAAGCACTAAGAAAAAGGCCAACGAAGACCGACTACCGGAAAGTAATGTGCCTAATATGCAGTCCAATCCAGAATTTAGTGTACCTACTTATGAAAATTTGACCTTGCAACCGCGAACCCAGCAGACAAATAAGAATCGTTACGACCGCCCCCCAAAGAATTCCACTCCTTGTCCATTTCTTCTGCGTCGAGGTTGGTGTCGAAAGGGAAACCGATGCGACTTTCAGCATCTTAAACCATCTCGCAATACACATAAACATAATGTCCCCTGTCCGTTTTTGCAGAACAGAGGCTTCTGTCTGAAAGACGATCGATGTGATTTCTCCCACGCTTGGGTACCAACCAGAAGGTCGGTATTAAAAACCACTACTAGTAGCCATTTGCCACCTGCCTCTTTTTTATCCCGAGCGCAAGTGCCATTGCCACCAAACGTCCACACAGCCCAACCTCAGCAGCCCCAAACGTACAGCCTACACCCATGGCGACCCCCATCTTATCCAAGGCCGTTAATGGAAATCCCACTACCCGCGTCCAGTTTTCCCCGATTATCCTCCCAGATCCACCAAAACAGATTTTACTAAATCCTTCTAAACAGAGCTCCACTCCATGTTTACCTGACAATTGTTCGTGTGACAATGAGACAGTAAGCACAATTCCTGTTATAATCTCGAAACGAATTAATAAGAAATATAATGTGCGATATCGACATGACTCCATCCGGCCAAATAATTTAATTAAAATTCCTATTAAACACTTGCCGGGTTCCCAACATACGTTCGTTCCCTCCCTAATGCTATCTAATGTTATGTCATTGGTGCCCAAAATAGATGAATTACGCGACGTTATCCTCAGTAGTGATGTAGAAATAGCTTGTATTACCGAAACGTGGCTCAGAGATCATATCGATGATAACGTTGTTAATGTGTCAGGATTTAGGTTGGTTCGCCTTGACAGAATTAACAGTCAACACGGGGGAGTCTGTATGTACGTTAGGAATAATATTCAATACAACATTGTACAAGACCTTTTAGACAGCAATTTTGAAATCGTCTGGGTTCATATTCGCCCTACTCGTCTTCCAAGGGGAATTCCATGCGTAATTATTGGAACGTTATACCATCCTCCAAGTGCTAACAATCAAGAGATATTAGATCATTTATTAAAATGTCTATCAACAATCGAATCTCGTTTTCCCAATAGTGGTGTCATCCTGCTTGGAGACTTTAACAACTTAAACGTCTCTAGAATCAAACGTAACTTTAGGCTTAAGCAAATTGTGAACTTTCCCACACGTGGCCGGAACACCTTGGACCTCATCCTAACTAATTTGAAAGACTATTATGCTTCCCCCATTAAACTCTCTCCCCTCGGTCTTTCTGATCACGTAACGGTTAAAGTTTTACCGCTCTCCCGAACAACAACATCCAAGTCCAAGTCCAAAACAAGCATCAAAACAAGGGACATTAGACCAACGAAACGTTTAGCAATGAGAACATATTTGGAAGCTGTTGACATTCAAACCTTGATAGATAATAAGATCTCTTGTGAGGAAAAAACTACGATGTTGGAAAAATCGTTAGCACAGGTATGAATTCCCTTCTTCCAATGAAGAGGAAAACGATTATAGCTAACGAGCCCCCATGGCTCAATGAAAACCTTAAAAAGTTGATACGTGCGCGCCAGGAAGCCTTGTCCTTGGGTGACATGGTTACCTTCCGATTACTTAGGAATCAAGTTAATCGAGAGAGGAAGTCAAGCCGTACAAAATATTACGATTCAAGAGTTAAACAATTGAAAGAATGTGATCCTTCCGGTTGGTGGAAGGAAATTAAGAAACTTAGTGGGATGTCTGCAGTGTCAAGTGACAGTACAACTTCAATTCTACAACATGTTGTTTGTGACCCAGTCGAACCGACTCCACTTAATATTGCCAATGTTATTAACAACGCATTCCTTGCCTCAATGAGTGACTTTTCTCCATTATCTCCCAACGTCCGTCTTGCCACCGATAAAGAACCCCCATTTACCGTCACAGAGCAATCAGTTTTTCAGAAACTGTTAGCACTAAATCCAACCAAAGCAACTGGGCCAGATGGTATTCCCTGCTGGCTTTTAAAAGAGAACGCCGATATTTTTGCACGACCAGTAATGTCGATTATTAACTGTTCATTCTTGGAGTCTCGCTTACCTCCTTCATGGAAGGAAGCCGATATAGTACCAATACCTAAGCAAAAACCTGTCAATGACGTAAATAAAGATCTAAGACCAATCTCTCTGACTCCAGTACTCTCTAAGGTCGCTGAGGATTACGTAGTTGAATGTTTTGTAAAACCAGCTGTATTGAAAAAAGTTGACCCACAACAGTTCGGTACATTACCTGGCTTGAATACCACCTATGCTCTTATTAGCATGCTACATAAATGGAACTGTGACACCGATGGTAATAGTGCAACAGTGAGGATCGTATTGTTCGACTTCAAAAAGGCCTTCGATCTGATCGATCATGATATTTTAATTCAGAAACTAGTGTCGTACGAAATTCCAAATAATGTTGTCAATTGGATAATAGATTTCTTGTTGAACCGCAAACAAAGAGTTAAACTCTGCCAAGATTGTGTTTCGGAGTGGGGCTCGGTCCCCGCGGGTGTACCGCAAGGAACAAAATTGGGCCCATGGCTGTTTTTAGTCATGATTAACGATTTAAATGTCTCTAATGGTGTGATGTGGAAATATGTGGACGACTCAAACATCTCCGAAACTGTTAAAAAAGACGAAGTAAGTCATATCCAATCAACCGTAGATGAGTTCGTACGCAAGTCCAAAACCGAAAAGTTCGTGCTGAATGAGCGCAAATGTAAAGAAATGAGAATTAGTTTTACGAAATCGGAAAAAGTCTTTCCACCCGTTACGATAAATAACGCCCCCTTGAAATTGTCCCACATGCCAAAATTCTGGGCCTGAATGTATCCGACAACTTAAAATGGAATTATCATGTTAGCGAACTCGTTAAAAAATCTTCAAAAAGATTGTACTTCCTAACTCAGTTAAAGCGCGCCAAAGTGGGTTGTTTGGAATTGGTACAATTTTTTAAATCTTGCATCAGATCTTTAATTGAATATGCTTGCCCAGTGTATCACGATGGTCTCCCAACGTATCTTTCGAGTGATCTCGAAACTATTCAAAGACGAGCAATGCGAATCATCTACCCAACAGAATCTTACGAAGATGCCCTACTATTATCAGGTCTAACTTCCCTATTCCTACGGCGCCAACAGATTACTAACAAAGTCTTCCTAAATATTATGAACGATGATGCACACAAATTACACGAACTACTGCCTGCTAAAAACAATATCTCGCTTAATTTACGGAAAAAGTCGAAATTCAATAACCCAAGAGTAAAAACGAACCGTTATAGAAATAGCTTTATCATCAGTAATTCAATTAAGGCATAATTAACGATAGTATTAGGCAATCTAAGTATAAACACGATCAGTTCAAGAACTGTTTAAACAATGAACCATTTCAGAAATAGTTTTT